TTATTTAATTAAATAAAAATTATTAAGTGCATTACTATAAAAGATTAGGGTTAACTTTCTTTGAAACCCAACAGCAAGAAAAAAAGCAGATTGGTTAAGTGTTTTATTTTTCATGTATATTCTTTATCTATAATTATACAAGTAACTAAAATGTAAAAATAGGGATCCTTTTAGGTTTGTTAAGATTAGATTAGTTAAAATAAATAATAATAGTATTATAATAGAAATGTTTCACGAGGTTCACGCAAGCAGCTCCTGGGTAATGTAATTCGTTAGCATAACATGAGTTGTACGTTCCCCGAGTGATTTACAACTTATAATGGTGCGGATAGTAGTTAGACATGGTTCAAAGGGCAATAAAACAGTAAAATTTAATTATAAATAGATATATACTGTTACGAATTTAGAGCTACTTAGGATAAACAAATGTAATTTCATGTTACAATTTTAAGTCATTTGAGAAAAAAAAAATGGTAATTTAGGTTTATTAATTTTTTTTTGCGATAATGAGGTGGGTCAATTTGACCAATCCCTTTTTGAGATAGGGTAGACAAAATAACAGATAAACTATAAAGTTTTAATGAAAAAAATATGTTAGCTTTGTTATGAGATCTTAATGACCAAGCAGGTCTTGGCTATGCTGAACTGTTGACTAGAGTAGCTGTTTCACAACTGGGGTTTGTGAACCATTGGTGGATTGCAAGAGTTATTGGGATGAGTCACAGAAACATTCTTGTTTACTGAGTTGGGAATCTCGGGATATGTCCGATTGATGAAAATGTTATTGTTGATGTACTTACTAAAGTATGATACCAGAATTTTTTTAAATATGTTATTAGAGATTAAGATAAATTTAAAAGATACTCCTACATTCTGGATCCTTTTTTTTTTTACATCTAGCTTCTCAGCATGGTCTATTTGAGGTCTCATCTGATGTCATAGCAATTGTGTCTCATGGAACAGAAGAAAGAATTAAGAATCTTGTTGAAAGACTCGGTATTATAGCTGAACATCGTCTAGAAAGCTTGAAAGTATGTCGTATTTGTTGGTTGTAATATTAAACTTGTCCTCTTTGGTTTTTTTTAAGATTTTTGGAGGAGTTACCGTTAAGTTATAAAATGACAGCTTTTCGTGTTAGAATGTTACAGGTAATATTAATTAATTTTGGTATATTTTTCTTATTTAAGAAAGCACAGAAAAGTTGTGTTATGTTCAAAATAGATTGTAAAAAGAGTTTTTAAAATGTGCAGTTATTAGCTTTATACTGAAGTTTAATTGCACTTAATAAGAACAGTGTTGCTCCTGGAACTGGATGCCTCCACACGGATCGTGTTCATTCTGACGATCACGATTATACTATTTTTTTAACTTTCTTCAAACACTCCACTTTACATGGACACCAGTCTTCCAGTCTGTGTTTAACAAGATCATTAAGCCTGTAGGAGCTTCATTAGGGAACTTTACATGTGTGTGCTTAAAACGGGATTGCTGTGACTTTAGTTTATTTGATCATTGTGCTGCAGTTTAAGAGAGTGGCTTTATTACAATGGCTATTTATTATCTGAGGTTTGTTTTTCATGATAATAGCCTTTGCTTTGCAGATGAGGTGTTACTCCTCATTGGCCTGGGATGAAGTTTCAGACCTGTTGCTGTCTAAAAAAAACACTGATTTGAAGGTTTATCTGCTTCCCGAGGCTCTTTTTTTTGTTGTTGCAAGTATTTAAAAATAAGGCTGTGATATATATTTCTTTAGCCTAACTTATAGCAGAAATCCACTATTTGTAAAGGATTTACCTTAAACCAAATATGCAGTTGTTAAATGTTGCCTGAATCACCACTATAATGGCATATGACAATTATTCTTATAAAGTGTGATGTTGCCTGAGGTACCACTATAATAGCATATGACAATTATTCTTATAAAGTGTGATGTTGCCTGAGGCACCACTATAATAGCATATGACAATTATTCTTATAAAGTGTGATGTTGCCTGAGGCATCACTATAATAGCATATGACAATTATTCTTATAAAGTGTGATGTTGCCTGAGGCACCACTATAATAGCATATGACAATTATCCTTATAAAGTGTGATGTTGCCTGAGGCACCACTATAATAGCATATGACAATTATTCTTATAAAGTGTGATGAAACTTTCGTATTAAATGTTTGAAAACTGTAACACCTTCTTGTAGTGGTCTTTAATATTTGGTTTTGTTGTTTTTACAGAATGATCCGAGGTACGAACTCCAGCAAGACGTTAGGGGTCAATTAAAGTTTTTAGAAGAATTAGATAGATTAGAGAAAAAACGACATGAAGAACAGGAGAGAGAAATTTTAATGAAGGCTGCCAAGGTTATTATTTATGTTATTTTAAAATATGAGCGACAGTTAATGTCAATTTATACTTGGAAGTCTGTGTAGAAGTACATTTGTGAAAACATTTAAACTTTGTTCTATTATATTAAGGTCATCACTCTAGTTTTGACCAGCTTGTAAAGACATAGTTGTTTTTATATCACTTTTGTAATTCATTTGAGAAAAAATACATTATGGAAGACAGTTATAATCTTGCAGTTTTACATATAATCTGAGTAATTGGAAAATAAAAGGTGTATGAATTTTAATAAACCTAATTTTTACCACAGAGTCGTTCCAAAGTCGAAGATCCGGATAAGATGAAATTGAAACAGAAAGCTAAGGAGGTTGGTTTGATGTTTTTCTTCTGAAACTTTCAGTAAACTAATGATAATATCTAAAACATAAGATATGCATGGAAAATGTTTGTTTTGGATGAAATTGAGATTGAACTGGTGCTAAATGGAGCAAAGTTTTACATGTTTAACTTATAAAGAACATTGTTAATGTTCATGTGTTTTTCTTCCAGTTTTCAGTCATGATATATAAAAATTGCATCAGTGACAAAATTGGAAATATCTTAAAACTAGCCCCCCCAGTGGCACAGCGGCATGTCTCCAGACTTACAACGCTATAATCCGGATTTCGATACCCTTGGTGGGCAGAGCACAGATAGCCCATTGTGTAGCTTTGTGCTAAATTACAAACAAACCAAATCTTAAAACTAATTGGATAACACTGGTAAATTTATAACAATGAACTTGGATGACAACAACCATGATTATATCAGTAGGTCCTTCAAAATACCAAACTTTTTTATTACAAGCTTTTATTCTGGATCAAAAGATTAATAGTGAAACATTTTTTCTATTAATGGTTTTATTCATTTACTTTTAATTTAGCTAAGTTTTGTTATACTATAGAGATTGCTTTGTAGGATAACTATATTTGAATCATGATTGTAAAATATGTTTATAATTTAACTTTACAGACTAACTGTACAGGTTTCCAAGGTATATAAGATATTCATATTGATATATCAAATAATTTATCAGAAAAGAAAACTCCAGCTACTGATAATATGTCAAAACATTTCTTGTACAAAAATGAGAACCAGACAAATGGTTTTAAAGTAGAAGTTTGGTGTCTTTGTATTAAAATGTAAAACTTGAAAAACATTCCCCCACACTGGTTTTACTCACCTTACTGAAACAACATTTTTAATTACTGTGTTTCTACAGATGCAACGGGCAGAATTAGAAGAAATGAGACAAAGGGAAGCAAACATGACAGCTCTTTTAGCCATTGGTCCTCGAAAGAAACAGAAATTAGATATATCTAAAACAGGACTAAATTCAGTAAGTATTGGAAGGTAGTGTCAGAGTTCGAATTAGATACTTGTACTACAGAACTAAGCCTTTTAAGTAAATCCCTAGAGAATTTATTTTGTCTACAAGGGTAAAAATTTCCAAAAAAGTTATGAAAATTTAAATAAAGTATTTTTCCTGAAAAAATATCTTGAGAAATTTTTTGGCCTTTCTCGAACGGCATGCATTTTAACTAAACGAAATACGAGTTAAATAATCCAAGTGAGATTATTAATAAAGAAATATTTTGACTTCAACTTGAAAGAACAGTTGAAGTTTAGGGAAGAAAAAGTCATAAGAATTGAAGATTATCCCTATCAGGTTAAAGTGTGTACATCACAACCTTTTAGAGAGTAGAAAGGCAAATTGTTAATTTATTGAATGACAAATAGTGCCATGTTCTGTTCAGTACAGAGTATTGTCTAATTTTTCGTCAGTTTGAAAGTTTATCTTGCTGTGTTTATCTTGTAAGGTATGTTCACAGGTAGCTCATGTGGTGTGTCATTCAATATAATAACTTCAGGTATGTTCACAGGTAGCTCATGTGGTGTGTCATTCAATATAATAAGTTGAGGTATGTTTGCAGGTAGCTCATGTGGTGTGTCATTCAATATAATAACTTAAGGTATGTTCACAGATAGCTCATGTGGTGTGTCATTCAATATAATAACTTAAGGTATGTTCACAGGTAGCTCATGTGGTGTGTCATTCAATATAATAACTTCAGGTATGTTCACAGGTAGCTCATGTGGTGACACCACATGAGCTACCTGCGAACATACCTCAAGTTATTATATTGAATGACAATTATATTGAATGACAACTTGAGGTATGTTTGCAGGTAGCTCATGTGGTGT